CCGTCACCGACAGGTACGGACAACGACGACGAGGAGGACGAGGACGTCGGTGGCCTTGAACAGCAACAGAAGGCAGTGTTGTTCAGTGCATCACTCACTCACTCACTCGCTTTTACGTAAAGGGTCAGCTCCGGTGGCAGGAAGAAGGGAACAAGAAGAGGTGGTAGAGCTACTGCGCTCTCTCACACAGTTAGCAATCAGTGGCCTTCACCCATTTTTCAAGTGCTGCACTGCTGAAGAAGAGGTGAAAAGAAGACGAAGAAGAAGAGGCATTTCTCACACCTGTTGCCTACTTTGTCTGCTGCTGCTATTGCTTCCTGGGGTTCTTCAGCACTGATTGTTTAGTTTTTGACTGTGTTGTGTCCTTGAGGAGAAAGAGAGGGAGGGAGAAAGAGGCGAAGACCAGGCTACTCTCTGATGCTGATGCCCGGCCATACCGTACTTCTTCCTTATTTTTTTTGTTGTGCAGTCAACACACACACAATGGACACTAAGGAAACAGAAACGAACGGCAAACAGCAAAAGTTCTTTCTCCCTTCTCACATGCCCATCATCATAGTGTTTCATATCGTTTTCAACTTCTGCTCAGTGCTCGACCACTGCACACAAACACACACACACACACACTCGAGATGAGCTCGTTTGTTGATGTCAAAGACTCGCCATAAAGAAGGGGGCTTTGTTTGACGTTTGTCACCACCATCACTTTTCTGCTCTGACGTGGTTAAATCTCTGCTGTTGTACAGCTAAAACTCACTACCGACTAGTACTAGCGTACTATCACTCTGCTGTTTGCTAGGATTGACATCTTACTATCAACAGCAGACTGACTGACAGCGACGATGATGAGCTGGTGCCAGTGCTGGTGGTCAATGACCTTCTGTACAATGAAGGGAAAAAAGAAGAATGCCGAAAAAACTAGAACTTCACTTCCTGAGAAAAGCGGCAAAGCTTTGGCTTTGCTCAGCGCTTTTATATTGGAGTTTAATTAGCAATAGTATCTTGAACTTAGTGGTGACATTTAGATCATTGTAACTACCAGTACCAGATACCAGTACTAGATATTCTAGCACTGTCAATCTGCCATCAGTTTTGTTTGAAATGTAAGCTGTCGCTGTTTCAGTCAACTGTATTCGCAGTAAATGACAACAAACATAAGGAACATGATTTTGTGTGCCCGTTCTCATTAGGCTGCACACAGGTTGGAGTCAGTCAGAGTTCACACTTTTGTCCTAAAAATAACTCTTCTTATAGAAAGGCAGCAGGTAGAGAGACAGCACTAAAGACAAAAGACAACAACGAGAGGTTGAAGGTCAATTTTGCTCCAAAGAGGGAGAGAAGGAGATGAACAGTTTTGACCGCTTCAGCATTTCTTTTTTAAACACAAAGTGGAGACAACGAGGACAACAGCAAAAAGGCCAAAGTGACAAGCTACACGGCACACACAGAGCTGCCTGCGGGCATCAAGTGCAGATCAAACACACAAAGACAGCAGAGGAAGCAGAAGAAGAAGACACAACAAGCCAACAGTGTGCACTAGGCAATCAGTTAGTTAGTCAGTTAGTTAGCAGTGTGTCGCCTGGCAGGGTGCAAGGTCTTTTGATTCCGCTGTCTCCGCTGTTGTAACTTTCAGCCAGCACTCGTTGCAGCAGTTCTTTCCACTGAGTAACAAAAGGAGTTGCTCCTGATCGAGCAAGCAAACAAACAAGGACCAAGGGACACAATGGCGCAATGAGGCTTTTGCTTAAGGCGCATTCCGATGCAAGAAGGGCCTAGCTAGGCCTCTAAAAAAGCGAGATCTTTCTCGAAGCTGGCAGTTCAGTTGCTACCTTTCCGCCGCCGCCGATTGACAGTTATTGGATGGCAGTGTGTGTGTGCCCGGTGTGTGCAGTATCGATGAATCAGATAACTGCTGCTGTTTAAGCACATGGCACATTCTTTCCTTCCTTCCTTCCTTCCTTCCCTTCTCCTCCTCTTCTTCTTCTCAATGAAAGTGAAAAGGAGGCCAACTGCCTTCTGCCACATCGCCTGCAGCGATGCCAGTGCTCTCTCTCTCTCTCTCTCTCTCTCTCTCTTGTTCACTGTGCCACCAGAGAGCTTTTTACCTTACTTCTTCTTCGACTTCGACTTCAACTTCTTAGTCTTCTCTCGTCAAAGGCCGTTGACACCGGTCGCAACGGCAACGGCAGCAGCCGGCAACAAGAATGAATGAACTGAACTGAATAGAGAGTGGTGGGGGAAGGTACAGATTGGTTCACCTGCAGCAGCAGCAGCTACGACCGAAGTGTCTTCTTCTTCGAGTAGTAGTAGTTCTTCGGCACCGATGACCCCAAAAGTGGCCACCATTCTTTTCTTTCCTTTCTTCTTCCTTCTGCTGATCTCGTGCTGACCACCACCACCACCACCACTGTCGACAATGACCGGTGACCTAACCTAACCTGTGTGATGGTCAGCAGCAGCAGCACAAACACGAGCAAAAGAAGAAGAGGAAGAAGAAGAATAGAAAGACAATTGCCGATCAGTGCAGTTCGATCAGTCAACAATGGCCACAGTGGCTCAGTGAAGGAGAGGTCGCGATCACTGCCCTCGTCCTCGGCCACGTCCTTGATCAATCGCCGCCGACGTGCAGCAGCAGCAGTGGTCAGCAGTGGTCACTTGGGCAATTATTGGTCGGCAGTGATCGGCGGCAGCAGCAGTTGCAGCACCGATAATCTCGAAAGAACGATGACATATCTTTTTTGTTTGTGCTCTCTGCTGTTGTTCACCTTGTCATAAAGCATACTTTCTGCTGCTGTTGCTGCTGCTGTCCGTTGACACATTTGCCTTCCCTAGCTCTTTATTTTGTTGTTTGTTGTTTGTTTGCTGCTGCTGCTACAGCCGTTGACAGCTTTCCTTTCTTCCTTTATCGGTGACCAAGTGAAAGTGTACCACTGCTGATGGTGAAAGGTGGCAAAGGTGAAAGTGACACAATCACAGACTGAGACAGACCTTTGCGTCAGCTGCTGTTGCTGTTGCTGTCGTCGTTGCTGCACCCGTGCAACCACCACAATTTAGGTCACCTGGTCATCTCAGCAACGGCTAACTCAGGCAAGGTAGAAAGCAACAGAACAGAACTGAACAGAAAAACGCTGCGTCTGTCTGACTGGCTGGTGTTCAACAGTACAACTGAACGTGAAGCACTACATTACTTCAGAAGAAAGACAAAGATGAAAAAGATCTGAGAACTCGATGAAAAGAAAAAGCTCACTAGAACGAAAGATGTATTGAATGAACTCTATGAGAAAGAGAGAAAACTTACCTACCTTCCTCCCACTACGACTAGCCCATCAGAGGTGAAAGGTGGCCATCAGCAAGAGCAGCAGCACAAGCAGGCACTTGCATTTTTTCTGCACTGAATGTCTGCTGCCAGCACTGCTAACATATTCATCGGAAGTAATGAGCACGAGTGCCAGTGGCCGGCAGCAGCAGCAGCAGCAGCAGCAGCAGTGCATTCCTCAGTCATTGACGGTTGAGTGCAGAGTGCACCAGTGCTGGGCACGCGTTCCTAGCTTTCTCTTTCTCTCTCTCTTTCTCTGTTGACCCTAGGTCTCTCTAGGCCCCTGCCACCACTACTACCACCACTACAACCACTACAGTCCGGTCCACCCCCTCCGGTGGCGACCTTTCACTTTTCTCTCTTTCTCAATCTCTTTTCTTTGAATGCCTTTAGTTCTAGGCACTTCTCGCTCACTTTCTCGGTCTCCTCGCTGTGTACTTCATTCAGTGAGTACTACACTAGCACTTACCACTACGACTACGACTACGACCATTCATTGAGGGTTAGGTCACTGAGTCACTCGGTCAGAGGCCAGGTCTCTCACTTCGGGGTTGCACTCAGGCACTGCGCTCCTTTCCATTCATTCACTTCTTTGCACTCAACCACGACGGCAGCTGCAGCTTACTGCAAAAAACGTGCTTGCCCGCGAAACCGCCTGCTTGCCAGAGAGACTGGACACGTTTTTGCGGCGACCACTGTAGCAGAAGTGGGAAACAGATAGAAAAACAGTTTTCATTTTTGTTGCAAATTTTCAGCTGTTGCTTCAACATTTCTTCTTTTACTAATTAAGTGCTCTTCTTGTCACCAGTGTTAAACTGCACTGTTGAACTGTTTATTTAAAAAAAACTGTTGTTCAGTTTTGAGCAGCAACCGATGAAGGAGCAACACCCTGAAAAACANACAAATTTTCAGCTGTTGCTTCAACATTTCTTTTTTTACTAATTAAGTGCTCTTCTTGTCACCAGTGTTAAACTGCACTGTTGAACTGTTCATTTTAAAAAAACTCTTGTTCAGTTTTGAGCAGCAACCGATGAAGGAGCAACACCCTGAAAAACAGTCGTCATTTTTGACCAACATTCCTGAAGAGGTGACCATGACTGCTAACACCAACTCCAACGGCAGCAGCAACAGCAGCGCTGGGAGCGGCAGCGACATCACCGCTGATTTTGCTCACGAGGACGACCACCTGTCGATTCACTTTGAGGATCATCACCCCTCTGAGCATCACCCTCACCACCTTCATCACCACAACCTTCATCACCGCCATCCCCACCACCACCACCACCACGACGACGACCACCTCCGCCGCGAGCATTCCGACTCTCCTGAGTACTCTGTCTCTCGACCAAACTCCAGCGTGTTCAAGCACTGTCCCCAGCAGTCATCATCATCATCAGCATCCCCACTACATCATCAGCCATCATCACCACCACCATCATCATCATCACCAGCAGCATCAGCGCCTGTTCACTGCCAAAGTCCTGCCTCCACTCAAATGATGGACACGGAAGATCTCGAAGATCTCGGCTGCTGCTACCACCAGGACGACGATCTTCACAAGCAGCTGACCAGCGAGATTGAGCTCGTCTTTGAGAACATTGCCTACAGCCTGAATTCAGACGTCGGCTCCAGTTTTGCAACAACCACAAACTCCTCTTCCTCTTCCTCCGCCAATACTCGAAACATTCTCAGCTCTATCAACGGCCACGCCGCCCCCGGTCAGGTGCTTGCAGTGATGGGCGCCAGCGGCAGTGGGTAAGTAGAGAAATTTTAGAATGAAATTTTTAAAGTTTTTTGTAACATTTTAACTCTTCCCTCTCAGAAAAACTACCCTCCTAAACCTGCTCAGTGGACGAACTAAGCCCACTTCCGGTTCGATTACACTCAATGGAGCTCGCCTGAGCAAACAGCAGCGGCGGCGCATCTGCTACGTCCTCCAGCAGGACATCTTTTTTCCCAGTCTGACGCTGAAGCAAACGTTGATGGTAAGAACTGTTTGGTACAATAAGAGAAAAGTAATAAACCAATTTTTACCCTTTTTGTTTGCAGTACACCGCCCGTCTTCGCCTGCCACAGTCAATGCCAAACAGAGAAAAGCAACGGCTGGTGGAGAAGCTGATCAGCGAGCTCCACTTGACGCAGTGCCAACACACTGGTAAATTTTTAGGAATGAGATAAAAAAATTTCCTAAATAAAAGCCTACCAACTCCCTTTTCTACCAACAGCAATCGGCGATGTCAGCCAGCGTGGCCTTTCCGGTGGCGAAAAGAAGCGCGTCAACATTGCCTGCGAACTGCTGACCAACCCTAGCGTCATGCTCATTGATGTAAGGTTTTTGAGAGTTTTAAAGTTTACCTAAACTAACCATTTTCACGCTTTTTCAGGAACCCACTTCCGGTCTAGATTCCTGCACCGCCCACTCTCTGGTGGCGACCATCAAGCGCTTTGCCGTGGAGAAGCGCAAGACGATCATCATGACGGTCCATCAGCCCTCCTCGCAGATGTTCTACATGTTCGATCAGCTGCTGCTGCTGGCGAATGGCGGCGCTGGAGGAAGGCTGGCCTACTTTGGCCCGATCAACGGTGTGGTGCCCTTTTTTGGCACGCTGGGCCACAACATTGGCCTGCACTACAATCCCGCAGACTACATTCTCGAGGTGGTGGCCACGGCCAAGGTGAAAAACGGCGGTGAAGGAGAAGGAGGCATCGAGGAGATAATTGAGGCGGCGGCAGCAGAGGCGGCCAGACGGCGAAGTGGAGATGACCCTCATCACGCCCATCACCACCACCATCACCACCATCACCACTGGAAAAAGACCGCCAGTCTGAAGTCGATTGAGCTGAGCGAGATGTCCGAGGTGAAGTTCAGCGACTGCAACCAAAGTGCCGTTAGCATGGGTGATCACCACCACCACCACCACGCTGGTGATCATCATTCTCATCATCATCACCATCACCATTTAGACTCTGATTCGGGTCGTTCGTCTTGGTCTGAGCCAGACCGCAGCTCCGAAGTCTCCCTAGAGCAGCCATCATCAGCCGCCTCACCTCAGCCAAATCTGTCTCCAAACAAAGAGACCGGCCACGTCTCCTTGTCAATGGGCGTCCAGCATCAGCAGGAGGAGGCACTCTTCAAGAACCTGAAGGATAAGAAAAAGCTTCACCCAAAGAAAAAGTTGTCCCGAAGACAGCCACCAAAGTGGCCCACCTCAATGTGGACGCAGGTGCGCGTCCTCACTGAGCGAAACTTCACCGAGGCAAAGAGTCGCATGCTCTCCAAGCTCAACTGGATCCAGACGGTGGTGCTGGCCATTCTAGCTGGCCTCATCTGGTACCGACCGACGAGGACTGAGGAGACAATGGAGGACATTCGAGGGTGGATGTTTTTCAGTAAGTGTTTTGGATAAACTTGAACATATCATCCACTAACTTTTTATCTCCTCTTTTTTACAGCCACCACCTACTGGATGCTCTTTGGCCTCTTCCAAGCACTGGTCTCCTTTCCCGCCGAACGCGAGGTTGTCAACAAGGAGCGCGCCTCAGGCGCCTACCGCCTCTCCGCCTATTACCTCGCCAAAATGGCCGGCGAACTGCCCCTCACGGTGGCGCTGCCCTCCGTCTTCTTCTTCATCTCCTACCCGATGTTGGCCGCCATGGGCGACAACCACCTTAGCTTCGCCTCCTTCCTCTCCTGCTGGGCCTTCCTCCTGCTGTCCACAGTGTGCGCCCAGTCGGTGGGCCTCTTCATCGGCGCCGCCTGCGCCGACCTGGAAGTCTCCGTCACCAGCAGCGCCCTCTACTCCCTCTCTACTATGCTCTTTGCAGGCTACTACACGGCCATGCCGCCTTGGCTCGCTTGGGCCCGATACGCCTCTATGGTCTACTACGCCTTCCTCAATATGCAGCTGGTGGAGTTTGGTGGCGATTCAGGGGGAATACTGTGAGTAGAAAAAGAGGCAGTTTTCGAACTTGATTTCTTATCATTTTTTTGTGCCATTTCACAGATGCTCTAAAACGGCCTCCAAGTTTGCCTACTGCCAGCAGTTCTACGGCAACTCTAACTCAACGACTGCAACCACTGCCACCGCCATCAATGCGACCATTCCCTACTCTGAGCTGAAACTGCAGCTCGATCTAATGAACCTAGGCAGCGAGCCGACGCCCCTCTGGTTCAACAGTCTTGTGCTGGTGGGCTTTCTGGTGGCCTTCCGTACCATGGGCTACCTGGTGCTCAGGTTCGGTCGAAGGGTGGCTGCTTAAAAACAGCTACAGAAAACACTCATTCACTTCTTTTATCTCAATTGTAACTTCTGTAACTCTGCCTTGTTGTGCCAAGTGATGCCAAATCTTGCAGCATTTTTAGTACTATTTTCCAATTTTGTTCTTCCTATTTATCATTTGACATATCCTTCTTTTGACATTTCCTTTTTTGTGCCTTTTTTGCCACTTTCACTGGTTAATTCCAGGCACAAAAGAGATTGTTTTCCATTATTATATTCCTGTTGGTTTTGGCTGGTTGGTTGGTTAGGTTGTGGTGTTCAATGCGTGGTTAACCTTTTTCTCCGATGTTCTCTCTTTACACTTTTGTATTTGCCTTTCTTTTTTTTCTTCTTCTGTTTTTGTACATGCAAATCACCCACTTCCTTTGTGAGCTGTACATACCTCTCTCTCTCACTCTTTTAATTCTGATGCAAATCATCTCTTTCTCCCTCTCCGTTCGAGCATCTAAAACATGTAACCAAGCATGAAACAAGTAGTGACTCCACTCAACTGGTAACACTTTCAAACTGGAAAACACTGGTAGCGGTAGACAACACACTGATAGAACAAACATTTTCTCGTACAAACACACACACGTAGACACATTGTCCTAGACCAATTTCCTTTTTCCCCGCCCTAAACCCATAACTTAATGTTTCCCCGCCTCTATCTACAACTTCAAAAACTACTACTACTACTCCAACTCCTAATAATAATAAATAGAGCCAATAAAAATAATAAAGTCATCATGCACTCTCCTCATCATCCTCTCTCACTGAATATAATTCATTTCATGCCGAAGTGCAACGGGGAGAGGGGAGGACAAGACAACAAAGGAAGACGATGAAGATGAAGAAGACACATTGCAATAATTGAAACGTCAGAAATCAAAGGAGTGCGAACGCGTGCGGGCTAGCTTTCCGATGAACGAACGAACCAACGAACAAACGAAAGAGAGAACGCGCCCCAGCAATTGCACTTCCACTGCAATTGACATTGATTCGGCGGCGGCAGTGGCGGCAGATGCGGCTCTTGGCGGCGGCGGCAGCGGCCACTTGAAGCCACTTAACGAGAATGGCGGCAACAGCAACAGCAGCAGCAGCAGCCGGTTTGATTGATAGTCGCTGAACAAAAGTTCCAGCAACAGCAGCAGATGAAATGCAACTGAAACATTCACCAACACCAGCAGGACCTACTGCTGCGAACAAGATGCGACCATGTGTGTGGTGGTGGTGGTGGGCACCAAAGGAAGGCAGGAAAGCTAGCGAGGCATTGAAATGAACAACCAGCACCAGCACCAGCACCAGCAGTCGCCGAAGTTGGTTGAAACAAATTTTTCTTTATTATCAAGCCGACGGCCACTGCTGCTGCTGCTGTTTTTCTGGTAGGACAGGCACCACCAGTCTGTGTAGTACTCTCCAGGCGCCACTTTTTCATCTTTTTCTTCTTCTTCTTGACTTCACCACTTCTCACGCACTCATGAACACACTCAGACAGAGAAGAGTGCCACTAAACTGTAGCAGCTGTCCACAGCGCCAGCAGCAGCAGCATCCTCTGATGCGGCCGTCTGCTAGCCGTTAACCGTTTTTATTCTCCAACAACAGCAGCAGCAGCAGTGATGTTTATTTTTACAGTCGCGGCTGGTCCTCTTCTTCTTCATCATCTTTTCAGTTCGGTTCTTCTCAGCACGTTCACGCTGTGGTGATTCTGTGTGTTTGCACACAGCAAACTGCCATTGCCATTGCCGTTGCTGCTGCTGCTGCGACAGTCGTCCACGAAGTCAAAGATGCGGTGGCATCGCTTTGTCTACCACCAGCACCACCACTTTGGCGACCATTTGTCTTTCGGCAGTCAGACAGTCGACGGCAGCAGCGGCAGCAGCAGCAGCACATATTCCTCGTTCATCAAAATCTCCCGGGACCTCCACCACTGTGGTCGTCGTCGTGGTCGCCATCGATTTTTGTTCTTGCTCAAAGAGCGGCCATTCTTTAGTCACTTCTTCTGGTTAGTGTGTTTCGTGTTTTTTGTTCGCACTGAATCTGCACGGCAAATATTGCCTCACTGTGTTAGGCAATATTCACTGTGCGTTTCATTGATTCAGTTCGTGGCAGAGGAGAATGATGTTTGCAAGATCTTCTTTGTCTGCATTCTCTTCGTTGAAAGTGAACGTGAACGTGAGAAAGTGTAAACACACAGCAAACTTTGTTTTCCTTTTCTATTACAGTTATTGCTCTTTGTATGATTCTCTGAAACAGTTCATCAGTCAGTCAGTTCTTCTTCTGACGGCACCGTGGAAGGTCTAAGAAGAATAAGGTAGAAGAAGTGCTGGCGACGATGGAGGAAGCAGAACTTGGCAACGGTGGTGTTGCTGCTGGCATCACCAAGATGACCATGACTGACAATGGACAGCTGAACAACAACAATTGCACCACGACAGCGAGTTGTCCCACAAACAGCTGGTCACCAACGGCCAGGTTTGTTTATGGTACTCGGTTTTAGTAATCCTTTTTATCCTCCAAACTTTTTTGACTTATTTTAAACTGCAGAAGCAAACGTCCCCCCGTTTTTTCCCTTCCCGCCAAACTCTGCCTCCTGCTTGCAACTTTCATCATTCTGGTTCTCCTCTTTTTGCTGCTCTGGCCAAAACTGAATCCGGAATCACCTCAAGAGCAAAACTTCATCAACTCGACCACCACAATCGCAAACTCCACCAGCAGCACTAAGACAACTCCCAACAGCCAGTTCTGCCTCAGCCGGGAGTGCATTCACATCGCCTCCACCATCCTCGATCGCCTCGACGCGGAGGCGGACGCCTGTGATGACATGTACGCCTTTGCCTGCGGCAACTTCATCGCCTCGCAGGACGTCCCTGAGGACTACTACGCACGGAATCTGCTGCAGGAGATTCAGGAAGGCGTTTTTGTAGAGATGAAGCACTACTTTGAGGAACCTGAGCCTGAAACGGAGGAAAACGCCACCACGGCCACCACCTCTGAGCACCACATTGTACAGATCAAACGTCTGTACAACAGCTGTATGGAAGCTGAGGCCACCTCATCTTCCTCCTCCTCCTCCATCGACGGCATCTTGCTGGACTCCTACGAGTTGGGCGGCTCCAGCATCGCCTCACTGGCCAGCAGAGGGCCCCTGGAGGCGCTATACCGCCTCATCATTCAGCTGACCGGAGTCGAGTGGCCGGTGCTCGGTGGCGACTTTGGAAACGGGAACGCCTCCTCCACGCCGGTCCTTCCTCCAACGTTTGCCGAAGCAGGCGGCCCGGACGGTTTCAGTCTGGAGCAGCAACTCGCCCTGCTGTACCTCTACCAGGTGCAGCCCTTCTTTCAGTTGTTTGTGGCGCCGCATCGGAACACCTCAACTTATGCTTTGCATGTAAGGTCAAATATGAGTAGTTTTTGTTCTGTCCACCTTGTCTACTCTTTATATTTCCCCTTAGATCTTCCCCGGGAGCACGGTGATGGAGCAGCTGCACTTTAGCATCGCTGAAGGCAGGCACAGCAGCTCGGCGGCAGCAGGAAACAGCGGTGAGAACCTCGATAATAACGGCAGCAGCAGCAGCAGCGGCACAGTGACCATCTCTGAGGCGCAGTCGGAGCTGTACAAGAGCTTTCAGCGAGAGGTGATCAAGGCCTTCCTTGCTGTGACCAAGAACCTGATGGTCACTGAGATTGACGCCCAGATGGAGGTCATTGACGAGCAGCTCGATGAGATGTTCGCCTTTGAGATGGAGCTGGTTAATGTGAGTTACTCGGGTACAAACTTTTAACCCTAAAAAACAATCCCCTTTTTTCTGCATAGATCACCAAAGACATTGCCCAGGCTGAGAATGCTGCCGCTGCTGCAGCAACTGCCTCCACCACCACCACCACCGAGTCAAACAACTGCCTGCCCGTAGTTTGGTTCAATCAGTCGGCTGCTGAAGAGGCCAAAGCGGGTAACCTTAACTTCACCGAGGACTTTGACCCCTGTGCTCCTTCTACCACAACTCCTTTTTCCACCTCCTCTTCATCGTCCTCTTCAGCAGAAGCCGAAGCAGAGCGAGCCTCCTCCTCCGGTGGGCAGCCACAACTTCAGCTGAACCCTGCTCTCTTCCTCAACGTTTCAGTCAATGAGCTAGAAGCGGACTTTAACGACTCCTTCAGCTGGTCCGCCTTCTTCCGGCACGCCCTACAGGAGCCGGCCAATGTGACGCTGACTGACGCACTGATTCACAGTCACGAGTATCTGCGCTCGCTTGTGGACCTGCTGGCCAGCAGCAAATACAGCGACAACAACAGCAGCAACAGCAACAGTAACAGCAGCAACAGAGAAGACGATCTGTTTTCAGCTTTCTTCAAAGAACCACCAAAAAGAAGGCAGCGGTCGTACAGCCGCCGTACGATCAACAACTACCTCGGCTGGGCGACCGTTGCCAAGTACATGCCCTACCTGGGAGCGGCCTTTCGCCACCTGTCTGCCGACTTTCAGGCCAAGTCGGTGGCGGTTCCCGTGGTGACGGCCAGTGGATCAAGTACATCGGAAACCCAGGCAAACACTAATGATTCAGGGGGTGGTGACAGCTCTGGAGGAGGCGGTGGAGGGGGCAATCCCTCCGGTTTCAAGTTCTACAACAGTCGCTGGAAGCAGTGCGTCTACATCGCCTGCGAGTCGCTGAAGGTGCCCGCCATTTCGCTGTACATCAGCCGCCACCGCCCGCCGGACCAGCTGGAGCGGCTGGGCGAGCGCATCGGCGACCTCATTGAGCGCATGAAGCGGGCCTTTCTCGCCGTCATCGACCGCCAGCCCTGGCTGGGCCGGTGGCCGGCGGTGAGGGCGGCGCTAAAGCGGCGCGTCGCCTCCATCAGCGCCAACATCGGCGTGCCGGAGCAGCTGCGCAACCGGAGCCACGTGGAGGCGCTCTACCGGCGGCTGGAGGTGAACGCCAGTGCGGAGCTGATCAGCAACGTCTTCGCCATTGCCCACCACGAGTCGGTGCTGGAGGCGAGGAAGCTGCTGGAGGCGGTGGTCGCCCCCGGCGGGGAGTGGCTCTTTCAGCCGCTTGATGCGAACGCCTTCTACGACTTTACCTCCAATGATATCAGTAAGGAAGGGTGTCTGAATGATAATAAGTTAATGATAAGCAAACCATTGTTTTTCTTCAGTCATACCGATCGGCATCGTCCGCAGTCCCCTCGTCACCGATCACATTCCCCGGTACCTCGAGCTGCCCTTTCTCGGCATCGTCCTCGGCCACGAGATTGGCCACTCAATTGACGTCAACTCAAGGAAGCACATGGCCGAACAGGGCGGGCCAGGCTCTAATTTGGAGGCGGTCGCAGCGAGGCTCCTCCTGGTGAACCAGTCCGCCTTTGGGGGCGTGTACAAGCGCAAGGCGCAGTGCTTCTCAGAGACCTTCTCACGTTTTAAGATTGACGAGGCGGACAACACTAATGTAAAAAGAAGTTTTTTGCTGTTGATGACAACTAAAAACAACTCCCTTTTTTTCCCAGGTGAACGGAAACGCCACCCTCGAAGAGAACATCTGCGACTTTGCCAGCTTCCAGACGGCGTACTCCATTTTCCGCTCACTGGTGGAAGAGGATTCTGTTGAAGAGCTACTTCCCCTGCCCGGTCTGGGCGCCTACAGCACCGAGCAGGTCTTCTTCATTCGCTACGCGCAGCTGTGGTGCGAGGTGGCCACCCGAGAGGGTCACCTGAAGAGCTTACAGGACAATCACAGTCCAGGGCGGTTCAGGGCCAATGGAGGTAAGAGGGGGAGGGAAGTTCTAAAACTTAACATTTTTCCAAAAAACCTTCTATTTCTAGTGCTCATGAACAGTCACTCCTTCTCGAGGGCGTTCAACTGCTCGTCGACCGCTCGGATGAACCCGCCCGAAAAGTGTGACCTCTGGTCTGCTGGACACTGATCTTCTCTCTCATTTGTTCATTTGTTTTTGTTGTGTTTTTGCTATCATGATCACCACTTCTCCTTTTCTACTTTGTATCAATTTCTATCAACTTCATCTTCATCTTCATCTTCTCATTGATCTTCTTTCCTCTAGTCCTTGCTTAAAACAAACAAATACAAAACGGAAATCAAACAAACAGAATCCGAGACATGGCATTTGTTTGTATTTGTTAAATAATGTTATATTCAAAAACTCAAAAAGTAATAATAATCAGTGAAGTTCTCCTCCTTCTCCTTATACTCCATCTCAAGACTGTTGGAGGGAGAGGGGGAGTTCATTCAGACACTCAATAATAATAGGCTACAGATTCGACACTTTTATACATCCACCTCATTATCTCACTTGCGCAGCGCCATCTGCAGAAAGGATCGATACGGGGGCGTCGCCTGCTTCTGCGCCTCCGCCCGCTCCTTCTCCGCCTCGGCCAGCTTGCGCTGGTTCTCGCGGAAGGCCTCCAGGGGGTCGTCAAACTGCGAGTAGTAGCGAATCACCTCCCTCACGTCCTGGCCCTTCTCATTGCTGAGCGCCATGAGGAAGTTGGCCAGGTCGTAGAGCGTCCGGTCGTTCTCCGAGTCGCCGTCCCACTTCTTCAGCTTCAGGCAGTTGTCCGGGTTGAGGGCGCACGCCTTGTCGTTCCAGTCGACGTGGATGACGGTGCGCAGGTCGCGGTTCAGGCAGTTCAGGTCCTTGATGTGGACGCCATTCTCGTAGCGCGTCGAGTCGCGAAACAGCCGGTACATGATGTAGCCGTTCGGGTCGAGGCTGTTGAGCAGGGGGAAGGCGGTGAAGCCCTGCTCGTGCGTGTAGATCACCAGCTCAAAGTTGGCCGAGGTGGCGCACTGGTGGAGGAAGTAGTCGACGAAGGGCCGCTTCTTGAAGCGCCAGCCCGTCTTGTAGGTCCACTCGGGGTGGACGAGCACGCCGGTCATCTCGAGGACCAGCGTGTAGGGCGGCTGGTAGTAGGGCGGCGGCAGGGGCGGAGGCAGGAGCAGCTCCCGCGTCGGCTCCTTCAGCACCTTCTCGTAGTGCATGAAGGTGGCCCAGGCGCGGTAGGCGTACTGCTGGACGAAGGGCAGCTCGCTGAACTGGTCGGCAATGGGCTGGCCGGTGGCCGGGTCCACCTCGGGCTGGCCCCAGTTGAAGAAGGCGTACAGTGTGGAGCCGGAGAAGGCGACGATCATGCCCATCAGCGTGTACTTGGTGAACTTTTTCTGGCGGGCGCGCTGGCGCTCTTTCTCCGCCGCCTCCTCCTCGATCTTCGCCTGGTCTTCATCGGACTTTGGGGAAGAGGATGAGGACGACGAGGACGAGGATGACGATGATGATGATGATGGCTGAGAAGAAGGAGGTGGTGGTGTTGTTGTTTGTGACGACTGGGACTGGGCTGCCGCATCACTGGAAAAGGGGCGCACTGCCAGACCAGAGTGGGTACACGTTCTGAGGCCTCGCTGGAAGCTCAACAATTGCGTCAGCGACTGGCGCGGTAGCTGCAGAGCCGGCACTTTCTGCTGAGGGTGGTGATGGTGGCAGCCGGTACTGCTGCTGCTCTGGACGAGCTTGCTCACCAGGCATGACACACTTCGAGGGCCAAGTTTGAGCAGCATCGTGGTGGCCTGGTGGTGGTGGTGGGGGTGATGTCTTCAGCTGGTCTTCTTCTTCTTCAAGACTCTTCGACCGATGTTTTCATTGGCGGTGCATCGCCGCTTCTGTGCTTACTGTCGCAGCATTTCACTGCAGATCACGTTTTGCTGGCACCGGTCGTAGAAGACGTGGCTGTTACGTAGACTTTGAGTTTTAGAAAGACTCGAAAAATCCCAACGAGGACTTTCACCTCTCTACCACCACGTCAAAGAAATGGCACACCGGAAGGTAATTTAAATAAGTTAAGTTTAATAAGAATAAGAATAATAAGAAAAAAGACTCTTAAAGGGTAGAAAGAGCAATGTACAAAAGTAGGCAACTAGGAAATTGAGGTGGTGAAGGTATTTACAAGAAGAGGAAGAAAAAGAGATGAATACTTGTAAAGGAGAGAGCGAGAGAGGATGTGATGGCAGTTAGAGTTCATCCTTCTCAGCGCCGCCGGCCTCACCGCCCGGGGGTGGCTGCTGGCCTCCCTCGGTGGCGTACAGCTTCGAGATGATGGGCGTGACGGACTCCTCGAGCGTTTTCTTGCGGGCCTTCAGCTCCTCGGAATCAGCCTCACCGTTGGCGTCGAGCCTACGCAAAAACAAAGCAAAGAGTTGGTTAGTTCACAGCTGTTTATAAACACACGTCAACACTTTGACTACTTACCACTTGATGGTCTCATCGACGGCATCCTCGATGGTCTTCTTGTCATCGTCGGAGAGCTTTCCACCGAGCTTCTCCTTATCGCCGATCTGGTTCTTGAGCGAGTAGGCGTACGACTCGAGCTCGTTCTTCGCCTCAACCTTCTCCTTGACCTTCTTGTCCTCGTCGGAGAACTTCTCTGCGTCCTTGATCATGCGCTCAATGTCCTCAGGGGAAAGGCGGTTCTGGTCATTGGTGATGACGATCTTTTCCTTGTTGCCAGTGCCCTTGTCCTCTGCGGTAACCTTGAGGATACCGTTGACGTCAATTTCGAAAGTGACCTCAATCTGGGGGACACCTCGGGGTGCAGGTGGGATACCAGTCAGGTCAAACTTGCCAAGCTGGTGGTTATCCTTGGTCATCGGTCGCTCGCCCTCAAAGACGGAGATGGTGACGGTGTTCTGGTTGTCAGCAGCGGTACTGAAGATCTGCGACTTTTTGGTGGGGATGACGGTGTTTCGGGTGATCA